GGAAAGAGACACAAATTCTGTGGCTGAGATGGTTTTTATTTCTTTAACTGACACATTCCTTGTCCTTTAAAAACAGAGTAACAGATAAAAAGTACCTCAATACAAACTGACTGTCCTTTCCTAGGGAACCACAATCAATTCAAACAGTAAAGAGAAGACCAGCTAGGGTAGCCCAGGACATGTGCAGCCTATTTGAGAAAAGAAGACTAGAAGAGCTCATCTTAGTCTAGAGGCTGTGAAAACATGATTTCTTGAAAATTAGTGGGATAAACACTGGTTAGGAAAAGAGCTGGTTCATTAAAGGCCAGATGGATTCAGAAATGAGTGTTACAGTCTGACTGGGAATAAACTTAGGCTGGGAATCACAAGATGATTTTTAATGGTCACAGCAGGGAGGTTCAGGATTAGCTCTTCAATAGATGAAGAAAGGATCGGAAAACAGGCTGCTTCAGAATGGATCTGATCAGTTTATGAAAGGAGCTATGGCTTGGTTGCCAGCAATAGCTGGGGATTATAGTCAGTGACCCAATAAGGCCCTTTACAGGCCCTCAACAGGCACCAAGCTCCCAGGTCAAAAGGACCCTCTGCTAATCCACAGGGAGTCAAATTCCAATAATGTCACACACAGGGACAAACACGATGTTTGTGAGTTGAGGAGTCTCTTTGTCTGTGTACAGCAAGTTCTCAAGGTCTCCATGCTCTAAGCTTGACTGTGGCCTCTCCAAGCCTACATTCCTATGTCAGACCTATTGTGGCTTGTTTCTCAGACACTTCTTCCTCCTTTTTCACTCATTGTCTAAGACAGGAATGTTTAAGAGAACAGGAAAGGCCATAGAGACTGTATTTAAATTGCAGCGAAGACTGGTAGAGGGAGAATGGGACTTTGCATTCCCTGCAGGGCTTTGAAGGAGCTTTAGAATGAAGCAGGTAAACTACAGAAAACATGTAATCTGTTATTAGGAGTCATCCCTAGATGGCTGCAAGTTGTCAATGTAGTGGCTAAGGATTAATGGCAGGTATTAACTTGGTGGTTATAAAAATAGTTAAGCGCAAGAGATAGGTACAAAACAGTTCTGCTGCCGTGTTGTGCTTACTGAGCTCTTTAGGGTTCCTGAAAAGTGTGAACAAAAACCAACCAACCAAAAAAGTCCCCAAATGCAATATATTTAAACATCTTAAATCATTTCTGTAAAGACTTTTTAAAATAAGAAAGCAGCAAAGGAAACTTTAGTGCAAAGCTATCTCATAGATTAGCAGCTGGCTTTGCAAAAACAATGCGAAGAATAAGCTTAAATCGATAATTTCTGTGTGCTGACAGATTAATATTGCTGCTACCCAGAATTCAGAAACATAACTAATATTGGTTCAATTAATATCTTGCAGAGCTGCAGCCAAGTGGGGATTACAGAAACAGAAACAGCACATGAGCATTCATTGGTGTTTGGGTTTTTTTTAGCTGCTTAATTAAATGAGGGATTATTCAGTTGTTTCCCAGAGACGACCTGAAGAGGGAGCAAAATGCCATTGTATTTTTCATTGAGAGCTTTTTCATTGCAGTCTTCTAAACTGTCCTATTAAGAGATCAGATATATTCCCCACTCCCTTCAAGCAAATCACCAGAGTTCAGGAGACTGCCAGGATCACAGACGGAATATACAGCTCAAACTGAACCACGCTTCCAGCTAGTCATTATGCTTCCTTTACAGGAAGAGATACTAGCAAAGAATCATTGCAGAAACGTAAATCCCTGATTACTTTATTCATGTGTGAGAACTTCGGGAGGCCAGTCTGGACACAGTACCCCAGCAGCACGCTATTTTCTGTGCAAGTATTCAGAGTACAAAGGGCTCAGTGGCTACCAGGAAGATATAAGGAAAATGATGTGACAGGAGTCAGATAGCTTACTTTCCATTAGGAGAGGATACTCACTTTCTATCCCACCTTTACATATCAAACACTTAGACTTTTTGTTCTTGAAAAAGAGATTATTAATGCTTTTATTAGGATAGAAGAAGAGTACAGGAGAGTATCTAGAGGATTTAGTACAAAAGTAACTGTGCAGCATAATAACAGAGGAAATTTGAAAGTGAAGTATGAAGAAACATACTGCAAAGTACTGTTGAAGACAACTCAGCCACAAATGGGTTTTAAAATAGTTGTTACCTCCTGGAGGAATGATTTCAAAATAAGTGCAGACTCCTGCCTTTTGCTCTGCCTCTAGCACCATTCAGGAGAGATTAATGTTAAGCTGCAGAGAAGACAGATTATGTTATTTCATAATCCTTGTGTATCTTGCATTTAGTTTTGTTCAGCACATTTTGTAAGTAACAAAAAGCAAAAAATCTGGAAAAAAGCAACAATTATTAAAAATAGGATTACTTACACCCTAAGAAAGATATGGAAAAACTGAACTTGTTCTTTCTAGGGAAAAAAAAACCCAACAAAACAAACAAAAAACCCCATAAAAACAAAAAAATCAACCAACCCCCCCCCCCCCCAAAAACTATAAGCTACAACTTAGCAATGAGTACACAACCCATTTAGTACAGAAAAGTTTCATCAGTCATTTGTATCATGTATCTGTAAACCCCTGAATAAAAAAGCTCTGGGACTTTTTGTTTGGTGAAATTCATTAGACAAAAGAAGAAACTTAGAAAGTACACTCTAATTTACTTGTTTAGTTTTCTACTTGGAATACAGTGAAGGCAAAGAGCTTAATATTATTTTTTTAAAAGTCTTAGAGATGTATCCTAGGAACATAAGAAAGCCATCAGCAATAGTAGTAGTTTGGATTAAGTATTCTCAGTGCTCTGAGACTTCACGCTTTAGGATAATAAGCTCATTCTGGGCAGTTTTTAGTGTCCACAAAGCATCCAGCATTGATCAATGTCAGAAACAGTGTTAAACCACTAAACTGCTCTGATACAACACTTGACACGTTCCTAAAGTCATATGTAAAAACAAGCAGACAATGAAGGTGGGATATTATAACCTGATTCTAAAACTACCAGCCAGGTGATTACTTGGTTACAAAAGTCTTGACACAACAAGCAGCAAAATTAGCCTAAGATCTCTGCAAGGAGGAATCCCATGTCTCCACTGATAGAACCATCCCGTGGGTGCTACCATCTGCAGCAGTGATTTCCTCTCAGTGAAGAAGATGGCCTGTAAATCTATGAATCATGAACATGTTATCTCATGACCTGGTCAGGCTTCACATGCTGCTATACACAGAGCCCTTGTAGCTCTGCAGAGAACTGGGTACACACTTAAAATCATTAAGCCTGCCATAGCACACTAGTTTTATTTCTATGGGAGAACAGAGCTAAATTTGCCAGTTTATGACCTTATTTCTACTTATGTTATAAATGGTTTCTCCTTTGAAAACCCCAAGGTAAGCTCTCATCTGAATGATGGGCCATGCTAGTGCTCTTACTTCACGAAAGGTCCTGCTGTCTGGCTTATGGTTTAAATACAAGAACTGTATAGGCTTTAGTAGATTACATTAGATTAGCATATCATCATTACATAAGGAGACCCAACCATACAAATCTCCTTACAAAAGGAGTCTTAATTTGGAGCTTTTCTCAGGGCTAAGTTGATGCTCTGGAGACTAATTTGACAATATCTTCATTTAAGCTGCTGCAGAACTACTTCTGACTCTATAGCTTGGGCTATTCAAACGATAATGTCCCAACTGATCATGTAAATGAGAGGACAGTAATCTTTGGCTCCCACAGATACACAAAGCAAATGTATTATCAGTGTAAGCAATTGTCATCTCCTCCAAACAGGATATGGCTGAAATTGTTCCATCTGTTTGATTCATTAGAAAGAAAAATCATTAAAAATAATTTGAAAATGTGGTAGCTTTGACCAATGCTTGACATCTGAAAATAGAAATTGAGGCTAGTAGAAATGAGTGGGTTTGTAGCATGTTTTTTTGTCAGATGGAATCAGACTCTCAGACAATGCTCAAGGACATTTAGTATACCTCTGTTATTTTCAGCTTTGCAGTAAACTGTGGCAGACTCCACAACAGCATGAGACTAGCTTTAAAGTTAAAAACATAATAGACTTAATAAAAAGAAACCCTTTTATTTGGCTTTTAATTCTTGAGGCCCTTAAAGTTCTTTTCCAAAACCTCAAAAGCACCAAAATTATGGTTTTTTAAAAAGCTAGATTTCAGACAAAATGCTAGGTCCTGAATCTTTCAAAAGGGAATGTCCTTGTGAGTTAATTAACTTTGGCCTTGAGTCCAAAAATGTTCTTTTCTTTTTTTTAAATTACTATCTTGAATCACCTTTCTTTTTAGCCTACTTTCACTAAGGGAACTAGTTTATAAGGATTCAGAATGAGTTGGTTCTAAGGTATTTGCCAAAGACCAAACAAGAAGTTTATCACAGAACTCAGGAAAAAACCCAACACGTTCTCCTGAGTTCCAGTCTAGGCCCATAAGGCCCGCTTTCTTCTTTTATCTGCAGTTCTTAAACAGAACTCGTTGGCTTTTTTGCCATGTTTCCTTTAGTATCGGACTTCACGTATTTGGTTCATTTTTACTTCCTTAGGACAGAATTACATAGCAATAATTCTGATTGCGAAAGAGCTATTGTTCTACAGTGTAATGCTCTGAGGTAGTAAAAAGACAAAGGCATTTCAGGTGTAACCACAGTGAATAACTGAAAGACTATAATACACACCTTCTAGGTAAACCACACCAAAGCGAACATTCTAATGAATGTTAATACATGTAGGAAAGTAATAGTATGTTGAAAATGTGCCCCAAGTCATTTTAGTTAATTCCAGCAATGCAAAGCCTCAAAACCAGAAAAGCCGACTTCATCTTCAGCGTTGCTTCTGGAAGTCCCACAACATATTCTGTCCTACAGAGGAAGTCAAACGACATGTGTGGGATTCACGCAGAACATACACCACAGATGCTATATTTAGCATCAAAGGGTAAAATT